GTCCGGGGTACATTCAATTCTCTTCTCCAGCACCACAGCTCAAAGGCGTCAATTCTCCTTCTATCCTCCCTAGTCATTGTCCAACTCTCTGATACATAACAAGTGATTGCAAAAACCATGGCCTGTTTTTTTTGCACATATATATAATAAAATAGAAAGGATGGCTGCCTACCTTCCCCACCCTCTTGATTACAAGTTCTTTGCATGGTCATCTGGATGATGGTAACATGTTTCAGTGGTATTTTGTTTTCTGTTTTAGGTGACGTGTTACTGGCTACAGCCTTTCTATCTTATTCTGGTCCGTTTAATCAAGAGTTTAGAAATCTGTTGCTTAATGACTGGCAGAAGGAGATGAAAGGCCGGAGAATCCCATTTGGAAACAATTTGAATCTCAATGAGATGCTGATTGACGCCCCTACAATTAGTGAGTGGACACTCCAAGGCCTGCCCAATGATGACCTGTCCATTCAGAATGGGATCATCGTCACAAAGGCTTCCCGCTATCCATTATTAATCGACCCACAGACTCAGGGCAAGAGTTGGATTAAAAACAAAGAAAGCCAAAATGAACTCCAGGTAACTTGCTCTTTAAGTCTGTTTGTGCTATTGGTCAACGTCTATTGAGCTGCATTGACCTGAATTTTAGAACAAGCAAAAATTTGCTAATATTAGAAATGACTTTTTAAATTCATGTAGAGTAGTAACAGGGTGAGACTTAAAATCTAACATTAACATTTTCTAAAAATTGTATTATTTATATGTGTATGGTCTCTACTAATGTCTCCTTTCAATGGTTGCAGACTATTTTTGTTGTTTGTTTGTTTGAGTTGTTTTTAGTGTTGTTGATCATTTTATTTAAAAAAAAAGTTGGGTGATCTGGTCCATAGAGTTGTGGGGCTAACCCAAAGGTCCCACTTCTCCAGTGGTCCAACCACCGCAGACTGTTTTGATGTGGTTGCCCATCTTTCAGATAGTCAGTGCTTTACCACACTTGATGACTCGACAGTTAAATGCTTGTCAGGGAGCACAGGCTTAGAGGGCCACTTGTGCCCAATGGGGCAGTTCTACCTGTCACTTTGTGTCATTGTGAACAGAATTTGACTGAACAGCATGCAGCAACAACTTGCAGCATTTTCCATGAATGGTCACAAAAGCGATGATAGCAAGGAGAAAACAGTATCGTGTCATTGTCCTCAGAAAAGATAATTCATTCTCTCAAGGTTGTGGAGTTGGAACCCACTCAGAGCTGACCCTTCCTTGGATTTCTGAAGCTGTGAACAGCCCTGGAGGAGATTGCCCCTCTTACTCCCAAGGAGCTGCTGGTAGATTCAGACCATAGAAGTCATGGCCTTTGAGGTAGCAGTGACCTGCCCTCTGAACTTCACAGCCAGCACCAAAAGAGAGTTAGAGGTATTTGTGCTATGCAGGCAACACAACCTTGTCTGTCAAAAATCAAAGACAACTTGAAACACTTGCTGCTGATTATCAAAGACTACAGCTTTCAGTATGGGTTTCATCTCAACTTCAAGCACACAGAGCTACTCACGACTGGGCTAACAGGCAATGTTATGATAGATGGGAAGAAGATGGACATTTGCAACAATTATGTCTTTCATGGACCCAAAATCCCTTGGCACCAGCATCCAGGGAATTAAAAGACTTATCACACTGGGTAAACATGCTATCCAGGAACTCTTTACGGTATTAAGGAGCAAGATATTCAAGACATGATCTTTTCATTTACTTGTTTTACATCTGAAAGTTGGACAATGACTAATTAATAATTGATGCCTTTGAGTTGTGGTGTTAGAATACTGAGTATCCCATGGACTGCCAAAAGAACAAACAAATATGTCTTGGAGAAAGTGCAACCAGGGTGATTATTAGATATAAGGATGGTGAAGCTTCATCTCACATATTTTGAGCATGGTATTAGGAGAGGCTGGTCCTGGGAAAAAGAAATCATTCTAGGAAAGTTGGAGTCCCAGCTAAAGAGAGGAACACCCTCAGCCAGGTGGATTGATACAATGAATGTATCAATGGGATCAAGTATATTAATTAGAAATGATGAGGTTGACACGGGATAGGGCAAGATTCAGAGCTGTCATTCACAGTGTCGTTCACTGTGAGTCCTAGTTCACTTGACGGGACCTACCAACAACAGCAACAACAACAACAACAACAACACAACAACAAAAGAGGATCTTCTTTTGTTATACATAGGGTTTTTCAAGGCCTGTTATTCCAGAAGTGGGTGGCTGGTCCTGCTTCTTAGACTAGAAGATTCTCTGAGATGTCTTCATGATGGATGAGCCTCCCACTATTTGAAATATCTGTGGCAGAGCTTCCAGCATCACAGCACAACACACAAATCACCACAACAGAGCAGACTGAGAGACAAGAAATCTGACTAGACAAAGTTTAGTAAGGCAGCAAGCAATACATTGTGGAGAGTATGTGGAGAGCCATCCCACTGTTGGTGGGATTGGAAAATAGTACAACCACTGTGGAAGACAGTCTGGCATTTCCTCAAAAAGTTGAACGTACAAACTCCATCTGCACGCTGTATCTATCCCACTTCTAGGAATATATCCCAAAGAAATTAGAACTGAGACACAAATGGAAATTTGTACACCAGTGTTCATAGCAATGTTATTCACCAGCGCAAGAACATGGAAACAGCTCAAATGTCCAACCACAACTGAATGGATTGAGAAATTGTGGTACATTCACACAATAGAATACCATGCAGTATGCAGGAGTGATGAATTTAAAAAATACTACATAACTGGGGAGAGACTGGAGAGCATTATGCTGTGTGAACAAACTTACTTTCTTAAGGAAAAATACTGCATAAGACCATGGATGTAAAAATAGCAGGACAACTAGTAAAACATATATGGGGGCCCAAGGGGGAAGGGATGGAGCAGAGGGGTAAGGATGGGTAAGGGAAAAAGTCACTGTTCTATTTCTTAAAAAATTTTGCACTGATATATATTGTAATATATTGCAATAAAAAGAAATCTAATGAGAAAATGAACAGCAGTCAATAACATAACAACAGTAATTAAAATTTTCTTTATTGCTCCGGAATATTTTAAAACATTTTAAAAAGAAATCAAAAGACATGTTGTATTGGGGAAAAAATCTGTTTTTGAGGACTTTAAAATACTGAAGAACAAAGATAGCAGTTTAATGACTAAGTTGTGCCTGATCCAAAGCCTGATATTTCCATCTGCTTCATATGTATCTGAAAGTTGAGCAAAAAGAGAAAGTTGAATAAAGAAAGTCAAAGAATTATTGCTATCTTTGAACTCTGATGTTGGAGAAGAGTACTAACTATCCTATGGGCTGCCAAAAGAACAAACACATCTATCTTGGAGGAATTCCAGCCAAGATGCACTTTAGAGGTAAGGATGGTGAAACTGCATGTCGCCTGCTTTGCATATGTCCTCAGGAAGGACTTTTGTTGTTGATTGCCCAACTCATAGTGACCCTATGAACAAAAGACCTAAAGCCTTTCTATAACTATTGTCGTTTTTCAAAGGTTATAGAGTTTCCAGAGGCATGTTGCTTAGGAAGTGGATGCCACTCCTAGACCTTGGAAAAAGACATACTGGGAATGGTGGAGCATCAGTGAAAGAGAGGAAGACCCTCAACAGGATAGACTGGCACAGTGACTATCATTCTTAGACCTGGTGGAAACTGTGAGGATTGTGTAGGATAGTGCAATGTTCTGATCTGTTGTTTTATAGGGTCATGATCAAGAGTAATGTTTCATTTCAGTTGCACTTGAAACAAAAAGAAAATTAATCTACTTCCACAGAATTGATTTAAACTGATTTGTTGGCATCTCTGTAGGGTAGAATCAATGGGATTTCCAAGGATAGAAATCATTAAAGAAATAGACTGCCTCATCAGTAGACCACTGACAATCTGGTGGGTACAAACTATTTACCTTCGATTAATGCCTGAACACTTTGGCCATGGTACTAACATGGATATAGGAAATGAAAATTAAGCTTTATTTTACCAATAATGGGCTCCAAAGACAAGGGTCTTTAACAAGGGAAGAATAGGAAAAGAGTGAGTAGATAATGTACGCTACATTAGATCAGGTGAGGGGAAGAACTGTCTGAAAGGAATAGATATATAAATTACATATATTTATATAAATA